GCATTATGCTGCAATAGTGCATCAGGCATTGGTTTTCATCCTGGCTCTTATTTATCAGACAGTACCTTTGGCTGATAGATTAATTTGATCTGCCAATGTGTCAGAAAACAAATTATTCTTATCTAGAAATATGTGTGAAAGCGACATAATCAATCAGAAAAATGTGACAAATCCAAACAAAATAGTTCATCTAAGAACTCTTCCGCTCTCTTTTATTTCTTGGCCGGCTTTCTATTTTAATAAAAATCTAGTTTGTTTGTTTGTTTTTCTCTTCATTTACTTTTCATACAATGTTACTGTTTGTAGATTTAGCCTTTCTGGAGGAAGATCCCCAGATACCATGGTTAGGTTTGGTCCCCTGATTTAAGCTAAAATGTCTGGAAGTTGGCTGATCAGCTTAGGGTTGGGGCGATGGACATTGTCATCAGGTGCGTGTGCACACATGGGAGGCAGCAGTCGTTATGTGCATGTGTTCTCACACAGACTCAGTAAAAGAGAGATGGGGCAACCTTGGGAGTTCACCTGAGGTGTAGGTGTGCGTGAGTGTGTCAGAGTGTGGGGAGAAGAGAATTCCGAGCCAGGTGCAAAGCATACTTAAAAACAATAATAAGAATATTCGTGGTCATTAAAACCTGCTTTCACAGGGTGGTATAATGTGAAAATTTGTTGGGGGGTGGGGGTTTTACAATGACAATGCCGGCTCAACTTGGTGATGTCTATCAGCCATCGTCTATCGGCCCAACCCTAGATCAGCTATACATATTTATCATTGACTGGGATTATTGACATGGTTTTTATCTATAAATGCGTTCAAACTGTGAATTTGGCTGCTGAACCTTTTAAACAAAATTCCTGGGGGTTGAGAAGTGATGACCCCGACCCCTGCGGTGGTGCTGTCCCACTCAGAGAATGCACAGACTTCACAGATACTGAATCTCACTCCAAACTAGCATGAAAAGTTTGCAGCCCTGGTCATTTCACCAGCCTTGTACAAGCTAGGTTAGCTAGCGTGATAGTGTTGGTTGGCTGAAATAACGCCATCGTAAGGTAGCAGACATCATCCAAATACAAACATCAATCTAAACTACCCTCCCACCACCACAGAGACCTGGGACACGATTCCCTGCAGCAGTACAAGTCAATACTGTTGTATTTTGATTTTATAGATTCTGAAGAACATGACTAGGAAGCCAGTGAGGGACTATGTAAGCAACCGGGACGAGATGAGTGTGTGGAGTCAAACAGCGTTGCCACCTACCTGGGTTCTGCATGAATGAAACCACTTGGCTATAATGTGTGTGCTGGTATTTTATAATGTATGATGTATTTGTAAAATGCATTTGTGAGAGATTTTAAGTACTTGAGGGGGAAAAAACATTGTATAGTGTGTGTGTGTGTGTGTGTGTGTGTGTGTGTGTGTGTGTGTGTGTGTGTGTGTGTGTGTGTGTGCGCGCGCGTGCGTGTGAAGAGTCAGTCCAAGGATCAAAGCATCGTCAAGGGTAACAAGGTGGTATGCTGACAATCAAACACACACACACACACACAAACACACACACACACCCGCGGTGATTTCTCATGGGAATGTCTGATTGGCCGCTGTGAGCCTGCTGGGATGCTCGGTTCCCGTGGCGATAGTAACCAAGCGATAACACCAACCATCTGACCCTCTTAATGTCTGTGTGTGTGTGTGTGTGTGTGTTGCCATCTGTGCTGCTGGCTCAGGGGAGAAGCAACACACTGAACAGTGATTAAAGCAGAGACAAAGGAAGGAAAGAAAGGCCATGTTACATGAAGACGTACATTGGTAACTTTCCTACATTCTGAGACACAGACAACAGAGGTTCTTCATGTCTGTTTTCATCTTTTTGCTTACTAAATTTAGTTAGCCAGGTAGTTAGCTAATGAGTGTTTGTCATTGAAGCGGATAACATATCAGTTATCAAAGTTGTTCGATCCACGCACTGTTCACACTACACTCCAAAAACTGTCAGCGAGCAGAAAATTAGGGCTGAAATCCTGTAGTGTGAACTCATTAGTTTATTAGTTAGATTTTAGTCAGTCAGCTATTTAGCTAATCGTTTAACTGGGGAGTATGTTTGTCAGATAATAATGATGAAGTATTTAATCTGCTGCTCTGAGTTTCTCTTCATTCCAACAGAAACACTGTCTTTACTCACTGAGGCTTTCATTCTCATTCCCACTCGGCTTTGTCATTCTGTCCTGATACTCTTCCTAAAACACTTCCTGCTGATCTATCGCAATAAAGAGACTCTGCCTCCTCTGCTGAGAGGCTGTTGATGTGAAACAGATGAAGGAGGTGTTGATTGCAAGTTATTCGATATATGAATATTAGTGAATATGGATAATCCAACGTTTCACATAAACAGAATCCTGGATCACAATCACAATATTAGACCGTGTGTATGTAATGCCTTGTGCAGACTACACGACTTTCAGTGTCGGTCGATGGCCGTGCTGTTCACACTACACAACTTGCGGTCTTGTGACGGAAGTCTTGAAGTCGTTGTGGCCGTTCACACTACGTGACTGATCGGTGATAGGGGGTCACACACTACATGAGCTGACAGTGTGTGTCACACCAAATCAGCCTTAAAATCGTGTAGTTTGAACTAGGCTTGACTGGACTCAGTGTCTCTTGCCATTTTTGTCCTCGCAGACACACACAGCCACTGATCCATTTGGATGAAGAGTGATTCTATTGTGCAGACTCAGATGTCTTGCAGACTGGCAGAGCTGTTCATATCTTCATCTGTGTGTGTGTGTGTGTATCAGATGGTAGTAACTGCTGTCAGACTACATGACTAGCGTAATTTCAACCCCAACAACAAACAACAACACGACACAACAAACACTGACTATGCCAAAAGCAGTCACCTCCTGCTGTTCTCTCAGCTGCGACTCTGACCGACTGCAACATGAACCGAGCGGTGGAACAGAGCACAGCCTCCTGGGACAGGCCCAATGAATCACTGCTCAATGTTAGAGTTCAAGTATTAACTCTTTTTTTGAGACATTATTAAAATATGGCGGCTGGGAGGGGTAAACAGTCAACTAAAGCAATTTTAAGATCTCTTCATGTCACTTCAAGTGGGAGGGGAAACTGAGACAGATATCTATACTACTACTACTAGTAGTAATAATAATAATAATAATAATAATAATAATAATATTAATAATAATAATTGTCCCTTTTTGTAATTATCACTTTTTATGATGACTTTGGTGATTATATATGTCATAACTCGAATTAATAACTTCGCTAACTTAACTTGTAGTTATCACTTCGATAAATCAGAATCGTGACCTCAGTAACACATATTTATCACACTTTTCCAACACATAATTATGACTTTAGTAACTCGTAAATGTGACTTAAGTAACTTAACTTTTAAGTAACTTAACTTTTATTTTATTAACTAGTAATCATGTCTTTAATCCTGTGTTTTTTCAAAATATGACATGATGAGTCATGACTATGAGACACAATGTCATGATTAAACCAAGCTTAACAAGCATCAAGATTGTTTTTATTATTTTTGCATACACATTCAGAATCCATGTTCTTTTTCACTCAATCAAATGACTAAATTAAATTACTTATTTTAAAAGCATAAAATAATAATTTGAGTACAAATTACTTAATTTTAAATTTATATAATTTTAACTTTAATAATGCATTTGTGACAAAATGGTTAATTTCTGCAGGTATCAGCTTTAAAACAGGCAAGACTGTTCTCATAACTATCTGACTGCTCACGTACGTAGCAACCTGTTCATAACAACCCAATAGAAAAATATTCAAAACTACTGATTTGGTGATTTTCTCCCTAATGAATGTAAATGCAGTAAATGTTGCAGAATCATCCGGTTAGGATTACAAATGTTAAATACCAACATGTAACAAGCTCCCAGATGGTGGTGCAGTACAATTTCAACATTTTAAATGCTCAATAAAAATCAGCTGTTTGCGCATCTATTGTATGCACACTTAGATGAGCTTTGTCTTGCAAATAAAAATACATTCCCATAGAAAGCGTCAGTTTCTCTTCTGCTTAACTTCAGTCTGGTGTTTGCAGCTTTCAAATGGTGCACTGTCTATGAGAACAAAGTACTATCTGAGCACAGCAATGTGGATGTTGCAGCATGTTCAGTTAGCAGCAGCCATAGTGGCTCAGTGTTTCTACACTGAAGAAAATTATAAACACTTTTGTTTTTGCCCCCATTCATCATGAATGGGGTCAAAGATCTAAGACTTTGTCTATGTACACAAAAGGCACATTTTCCAGTGGCCTTTTATTATGGCCAGCCTAAGGCACACCTGTACAATACCCATGCTGTCTGATCAGCATCTTGATATGCCACAGCTGTGAGGTGGATGGATTATCTCGGCAAAGGAGAAGTGCTCACTAACACAGATTTGACAGATTTGTGAACAATATTTGAGAGAAATAGGCCTTTTGTGTACATAGAGAAAGTCTTAGATCTTTGAACTCAGCTCATGATGAATGGGGGCAAAAACAAAAGTTTTGCGTTTATAATTTTCTTCAGTGTATTTGTGGGCTGATGGACACAAGACTGTAAAAACTAACACTGAAGCAGATTTCAGTGTGTCACACTAAAACTGTCTGACTGAAAATCTGCCGAGTTTAGATTCAGATTATCTCAATTTCACACCAGGTGAAAACAGGTATTATTGCCATACAGAATTTATTACTGCGACACAATGCAAGAAAAAGAATAAAACTGACCACAGAAAGTTGTAAATCAAGTGATGTCATAAGAAATACAGCGAGGTCAGAGAGGAAATTAGGACATGACAAGAATGAGGACAACAAATGATGAGAGCAGGTTGTGTTTATCAATGAGCAGCGACAGGGACATCACATGTATCAGCTATGTGTGTGTGTGTGTGTGTGTGTGTGTGTGTGTGTGTGTGTGTGTGTGTGTGTGTGTGTGTGTGTATGTTTGTGCACTCCTACCTGGTTCTCGAAGCAGCAGCTGAGCCATCGCCTGCGAGCTGCCGGCTGAATTTTCAGCTACACACTGATAAAATCCTTCATCTGATTTCACCAATCCCAAAATCTGCAGGTTACTGCCGTCCTGAGTAGCAAACATATACAGCATGTCAATAAAACCTTTCAAATATCCAAAATATCTAGCTTAGACCATTGTACAAACAAGAAAATGTAAGAAATTTAAATTTAAAAAAGTGTGTGTGTGTGTGTGTGTGTGTGTGTGTCATCTCTTTACAGCAGATTATGGGATAACAGAGCGATATCCAGATTATCAGATTACGAGTCTTCTACACAAACACTGTTTTCATTTTAGTATTTAATTCCATTTGCTGTTAAGATAATGTCAACGTCCTCTGTGAATTTCTGTGTAGGCTCTGCAAATATGCTTCTTGGAGGTAACAAACATATGTTCTGTCTTTTTGTTATTCATGAATATGAGTTGACTGGGAAGCATTTTTGTGAAGACTTTTTAAATGTATATGCTAATATGTTCCCAAATGTTTTTGTCTAGTTTGTAACCTATACCTTGTCATTCTTAAAATTGCACATTTAGTCTTATACACATTAACTTACAGAATATTTGGAATCAATGTTGCTCTTTTAAAAATTGGCTTTAAATACTGAACTTAAAGAATATAGCTCAGATCCTCAAATTTTTATTTTGCGGATTCATCACATCATGTTAGAATTCAAATATTTCATTTTGTTCTTATTTTTATTCATTCCCCAGTTTGTCCTTGCTGGCTTTTAGATATGCAGACAAGCTTTTGTTGAATACCTTTCTTGGATCATAAATGGAATCTATGGACTCCAGGAACCACCAGTTAATATAAATTTCAGACCAATGTTGGAATTTCTCCTGAAGAAGGAAGGATATTGTTGTACTAACTAAATTAGTATAAAATATACTTATAATATAAAACAGGAGCATTAGAAATAAAGACGTGTCTCTAATATAAGATTTATGATTGTTAATCCTCCACTGGAGAATATATGGTAATATGAGAAGATTAGAACATTCATCTTACTATAATTTTATTAATAAGACTGCAAAATTTGTGTTGACTGTTGTGTTTTTCAGTATCTGACTGTAATTAGGCTTCTGAACATTGTTTTAAGAATAATTGTCTTTTGTAAAAAAAATATATTGTTCATCATAATCATTATTAAATATTTTAATATTTATTTGTAACATTAATTTTCAACGTAGTGATTTCAGAGTGATCCCAGCTGTAGATATGGTTCTTTTCTTTCCAGGCACAGACACATGAATACTCACATTCTGATAAAACATTATTTTCCACCATTCAGATGTAAATACAGTACATTTCCTGGGTTCTGTTTGACTCACCACTATCTGGAAGTAATCACTGGGGATGACTTCCTCTCCGTTTTTCATCCAGCGGACAGTCGGCAGTGGGCTTCCTGTCACAGCACACTCCAGCTCGATGTCGGTGGACTCGTAGGCATATGTGTTGGTCGGGTAGTTCAGGAACTGAGGAGGCACTGCAGAAATACACAAAAAAACACAACACATAAACAACAGAGGAACAGCTGAGCACCCCCAACACTGACTCAGTTCTAGTGTTGTTTGGCACCTTTGTTTATTTTCCTTCAAGATTGTGTTTCACATTAGCAAGTTTCTGTTGCGACCTCAGTTAATTACAGACTAATTAAAACAATTACAAACTGAGCCCCAGCTTATTACTGAGGAGCTGAAAGTGTTTGATCTCATTAGCCTCCATGGATCATTACTCGTTCATCTCCTCATGGTCATTTGACGTTTTCATTTGATATTTTCAGGTATTTATCTGTGGCCTAATGCTAATCTGGCAGACTACATTCAAACCTTGGCAGCGGCAGATTACAGTTGAATAATCTTGTAGTTTGGCTTTTGGTTGATGAGCTAACATTCCTGTTTCACTCATGTTACAGAGTAACAGGACCATGGTATGTGTATTCTATTGTTGTGGATTTTATGTGGTTTGATGTCTGGAGCACTGGATCAAATGAATTTGCTCATGTGGGATGAATCGGAATGTGAAATAAGATGTGCACAGGAAATAGTCACAGACTAGTTGGTCAAGAAAGTGGGAACTTCAGCAGCCTGTGCAAATAAGAAATGGATTAACAAGTTTGACCTGTGATCTTTAAAAAGTGATCATATGTTTAAATTGTCTTGCTTGCTGTGCTGCCCCCAAGTGGCCAAGAATATCAGAATGCCATTTTAAAGATACCAAAACAGGAAATTAAAGGAAAATGGATGTTATGGCTTAGACATGCTTTTAGCATCAGTCAGTGTTCTCAGCATAGTTATAACATTTTAGCATAGTTTTTAGCATATTAAGCGTGTTTGTGAGATTGTATGTATTTTTTAACTAGTTCCTTCTGCAGCAGATTTGAGTCATTTTAGCTTGTTTTAACATGTATTTATCTTACATGTAGCTGTTGCTGTCTGCATTACATTCTAAGCTTTCTTTCTATTTTTGCTGTTCGCTTCTTTTTGTTTTTAACTATAGCTATTATAAGCAGGTTTCTGGCGCATTTTCAAGTTTTTAACATTATAAGGCGATTTTACATTCCATAATGTGATCAGCAAATTTAAGCCATTGTTATCTGTTATAGTGTTTGCTACAGTATTTGTAAATAACGCACAATGTGTTTTTTTTAATCAACCGGTGAATCAGTAGCTACCTGGCTATTTGTAAAAAGTGGCTGGCCAAGCGAAGTGTTCCGACTTGTAACTGGAATGCCGTCAACTCGGGTGTGACGTCATTACCAGTTCCGACTTCCGAGGTAAATGGAATGCAGCATTAAGTCAGTGTTCTTTGATTTTAAGGTGTTGTTGAGAATCCGTATATGGTTCGTTTTTTGATTTTTTAGTTTCAAAACGGAATCGGAAAAACAAAACAAAAACAAAGTTGTTTCTTGGTTTTTCCGTTTTAAAACCAAAACAGAAAGACAGATAAACAGAAAAAAAACCAAAACAGACAGCGTTTTTTCTGTTTTAAACCCAAAACGGAAAAATATTGATTTTGATATTTAATGTGTAGCTTTGTGTGTTACACTTGATAAACCTGCAGCAGATACACCTGGGCGAGGGGGATGCCTGATTAAATGTGATTAAGTTGAGCTTGAACATCAACATAAGTGAGGCTTAACGTTCAGTTTGTAACTCACTAGCAACTGGGACAGAAGTTTCCTAAGAATCTTCCGGTTTTGAAGATTTCTTCAGTATCGAATTAATTCAGTGATTAATTAATTCAGTTGTCAGTACATCCAATGGTGCACAGCAAACATGAACTGTTATTTGTTAAATTGGAATTATTAACAAAACATACACAGATTAAAAGGTTCGGGTAATTTTCATTCAGCCTCTCTACACTGTTTCGACCTGACCTTTATGTTCTTCATGAGATGGAAGAATTAAGAAAGTTGTGCGGCGCCGCGGAGAGCCTTCAGCTGCAGTAACACATGGATTAGACTATGTTATTGAACTATGTTCAATAAACACTTAAACTGTACCTGCTTCACTTGAGTGTCCTGGTTTTAGGTCCAAATCCCTGTTTTCCCTGTGTCTGCACTCAGCAAAAGTGACTTTAGCATATTTTAGCTTGTCTATGTTTGACACTTTGATCATGTTTTTTTAGAATGCCAGGCATTTTATATATATATATATCTGGAATTAATAGTCATTCATTTTGTGCTCTAAATTTCACATCTCATCAGCAAAACCCCTGAACACTGAAGGCTCAGGTGTGATTGAAACAAATACGATCTGACACACAACCCCACATTAAGCCACACATTGTAATGTTTACACTTCGTTTTTGTAAGGATTGAACAAAGAGATTAGATACAGCATGTTAACTTGGAGGCTTCAGCGGTGCTGGAAGTTGTATATTGTTACCTTTGGACAAAGCCACACTAGCTGTTTCCCCTTATTTTCAGTCTTTACGCTAAGCTAAGTTAAGCTAAGCTAAGATAAGCTAAATTAAGCTAAGCTAAGTTAAGCTAAACTAAGCTAAGCTAAGCTAAGTTAAGCTAAGCTAAGTTAAGCTAAGCGAAGCTAAGCGAAGTCGCTGCTACCTGTAGCTTAATTTCTAACTGACAGACATGAGAGTCGTGTAAATCTTCTGAATTATTCTGATCTTGTGATTCTCAGCAAGAAAGCAAATAAGTTTATTTCTTAAAAAGGTTCCTTTAAACTAGAACACGGTTTAACCCTGACTGACCCAGGATTTTGGATGCAGTCAAATCAGTGACTGTTGAGAAGTGATGGGAGCTGCAGAGTTCATGTGACTGCTGGTAAACTGTCAACAGGCTCACTACATTTTAAACAGGAAGTAGCTGCCACGTTTCAACGCTGTTGTTGTTGAACAACGCCTTTTAAAATGGGGCGGCAGCTTGTGACTGTGAGGGCAGAGATGTAAGACAGAAGCCGTTTTGAGCCTCAACAGAGATGAGGACGAAGTCTGAAGGGCCTCCTGCAGCACCAAACACCACAGAGACGCTGTCAGCACTCCAAGACAACAAACATTCTCCCGCCAGCAAACAAGAACACACATGGGAACGTCCTGTTACTATCCACACACACACAAACACAAACACCCACAAACACCTACACACACAAACACCAACACACACAAACACCTACACACACAAACACCAACACACACACACACACACACAAACACCTACACACGCACACACACACACACCAACACACACAAACACACACCCATACACACACACAAACACCTACACACACACACACAAACATCTACACACACACACACACACACACACACACACACAAACACCTACACGCACGCACACACACACACACACAAACACCTACACGCACACACACACACACACACGCACACAAACACCTACACACACACACACACACACACACACAAAGGAGGGGTGGGATATTGATCAGCCTACAAATCACCCACCCAAACAAGTAGTGGCTTCAACAGACTATGCCGGCTGCAGCGTGTGGGAGAAGTACATAAACAAAAGCAAAATGCGCGATCAAACGCCATAGTGAAGGGAATAGCTGCACACTGCAGGCTGATTAGTATTGGGGAAGATGTCGGTCAATAGAAAGGGACACAGCGCGCCGGGAGTAAACGGCAGGCGCTCTGTTGAGAGTAACCATAGCAGCGGCTTCTGTGAGCTACACAGCTGTTGCCTATTTAACTTAAGTTAAAATTATAGGCTACATAACTTTACCTGATAGGCCTTCATCTAGTTTTGCGGGGATGCTCTGCCGTGTGAATTCCCTCCTTCTGATGATGATGTGCTGCGCGTACAAAAAGTTCAAGACAATTCAACTTTGACAGCAGGCGAGCGTGTGCGTGATGTGAGCACAAACGCGACAGTTTCAAGGGAACGCACCCGCTTGTCGCTACACCCTGTGCTCAACCACTTCACCTCAATCTAACAGGGACACTTGCTACTGAACAAAGACTGTTTCTGCTGCTCTCTGATTAAAGGAAAATGTTTCTGCTGATATCTGTTCAGAAAAACCCCCCAAGAAAACTGGACTCTGATGGTAACTTGTTTTAACAACCTAGATAAAAGGTGATGCCCTGGTAGTGGCAATAGCTTTGGTTTAATATTTGACTTGATTACATTAATGTTTAAGTTGAGATTTACAAGAAATATTTTATTGCTACTGTGTAAAGGAAATACTGCTGGGAAAAAGCTCCTTACTTGTTTAAAGTACGGTATTGCACGTTTGTGTATATTGTTTTGTTAAGTATGCAGAGTGTATGCACTGAATAAAGACACTGAGAGCGGGCACATGCTTTGCAGGAACCTTTTACTTCGAACCTCTGTGTCACCTTCTAAAACGTCCATGTGTCACCGTGAGACTTTAGTTCCCTTTAAAGAACATATATAGCAGTACATTTAAATTAAAAGCACAATACACTACTTTAGAATTCATTATTCAATTTTGCACATATGATTTTCTTGCGATTATCATTGCCCAGCACTATAATAAATATAGAAACACACACAAAATGCGATAAGAGAGCCAAAAGTAAGTGGACACCAGAATATTACATAGACAGGACAGAAGGACGATGGGAAGAAAGAAAGAAGAAAGAAAGAGAGGAAGAATGAGAATGAGAAGAAGGACAGGGAAAAAGCAAGAAAGAAGAGAGAAATAAGAAAGTCAAACAGAAAAGAGAGAATGACATGATGGAAGAAATGAAAAGGAAAATGGGAAACCCAAAGAATAAGAAAGGAGGGGAGAAAGACAAAAGGACAGAGAAAGAGAAGGCAGAGAGGCTCGGACAAGTTTGAAGAATAGAATACAAGGAAAAGAAGATAAAGAGATACAGAGAGGGTGACAAAAGAGTAAAGGGGGAGAGATGAGAAGAAAGGAAAGAAAAAACAGGAAAACAGATGAGAAAGGATGGGGAGGAAAAGGTGTTAAAGAAAAGAGTGTATAGATGGATTACAGAAAGGACAGAAATTGCAAGAGT